CTAACGACGATCGTTCGAAGCAAAACAACCCCGTTCAAAAGTTAGCGCTCTAGACGACTGTTTGACGGCCATCGTTGGGCGATGATCGCACCGAGCAAAACGTACCTTAATAGCGGAGATTATGATCAAGGGATTTCTTTATGTTGTTCCCTCTCTGTGTCTGTACCTTTCTGTTTCTATGTCTCTCTTCTCTCTCTTCTCTCTCTCTCTCTCTCTCTCTCTCTCTCTCTCTCTCTCTCTCTCTCTCTCTCTCTCTCTCTCTCTCTCTCTCTCTCTCTCTCTCTCTTCTCCCTCCTCCCTCTCTCTCCCTTTTTCTCCCTCTCTCTCCAAGTGACCAAGTAACTCTATCGTTGATAATAGAATGAATAACAAATATGATAATCTAGTAGATTCTCTAACCCGAGAGCCAACCCCCCCCCCAGGCCGTGGTGTGGCTCATCACCTGGGGCAGACGGACCTCGCGGGAGCAGTGTTGCCAGCGCTCCGGCTCGGCCAACCTGCCCCACGAGAACACCATGGACGTCATCATGGCCCGAGACGCCTCCACGGACAGCGTCGCGGCGAACGTCAACGCCGGGGCCAACAACCTGCTCGTCTAGGCCGTCTAAAGGGCGTCGAGGAGGAGGAGAAGGAGGAGGAGGCCCCGAAGGAAAGGGGGGACCAATCGCCCAATCCTGGAGGACTCCCGGACGCCCCAATCCTCGAATCTTCTCTCTTCAGTTCACTCCAATACTGCCATACGTTGTTACCAAGGAAGCCCGACGCGGAGGACCCCTCGACGCTTCCTCCCCGAAGAGTCTCTGCCGCAGGAAATGACCCCCGAGAGGAGGCTCACCAAGAAGTATGTTCTGGGAACATTGTCTTTACCTCGCTCCCTTCTGCAGGAGGGAACACACCAGTATTCCTTTGTTTTTAAGTAAGATATTTGTATATATAAAACAACCAAAGAACTTCGACGTTTTCGTTGAGAAAGAAAAGCCAGTGAACCTAAGAAATATGTAGTACGTAAGTGTATTGTTCCATGTGCAATGTATTTATATGCTGGTTGTCAATAAGTGTGGTTGAAGAACTATGTGCAAAGAACATCCAAGAGTTACTTATTTAGTTTTATAGAGTCTTGTTCCTTTTTAATTCTAAGAAAGAAAGAAAAGGGTGAAAAAATAAACACCCTTTCAGAATCTGCTTTCGTGAAGTCTGCACTGAAATCTACGTGATTTTTTTTTAAACGTCTGTTTATTAAGTCTCATATATATCTGTCTATTTATCATGAAGATATATGTACTGTCTACTTACACTTACGGGATGTAAGTGTGCCATTTATCGGTTGTGTGTTCTGTTTTGTGAAATAGAGCCACGTGGTATAAATATGAGAGACCGCAGGCATTAATTTTTTCAATTGTTTTTAATCTAAGAATAGAAAATAGAATTTAAAGATTTCTTTTTTCAGTTTTCTATGTTAGTGTTTGTAATTATTTTTTCTTATATTGATAGGAGAGAAAATACGTATGATTTCTTAACGTTTTGGAAAACGTTCATATGTAGGTCTATCAAAAAAAAAATTATTGTGGTTTGTGTATGCTATTATATTTTCTTTGTTGATTTACTGCTAATATTTGAGCTAAAGAATGACAAGACATATTATCATTTACCGTAAGATTATGTCCTTTAAAACCTGTATGATAAACAAATAAATATTTTCTTAGAAAGTTTACATGATGGGGATAAAAACCTGGAAACTTAACATACATTCCATATACTGTCTCTGTGAAAAAATATATATTGATGTATCTGTTTGCTTTTACTATGACAGCTGTGTAATTTACTTTGACAATACTGACAACAAGGCAATCAGAATTTTCCAATTAATGAGGAGAGCCCATTGATAACAAATGTCATGAAATATATAAAGGAAATTGAGTAATTCTGAAATGCAAAATATATGATGAACATTTTTTTTACCACATCTTCAAAATTCGTAGGTCAAAGGAAATTGCTCTCTTAATTCTGATGATATGACATCGAATTAATTCCATATCTTGTCCGAGGAATTATAAAAAAAAAAAATCAGTCATATTATTTTTCAGATAATGTATGAAAGATAAATAAAAAAATATATAAACAGTATATATATATATATACATGTTCTATGTCCATGTCAATAGTAATCACTGTTTTTTTCGGGTATATATAAATCCTATTGCAATATCATCTACTTATTGACTGTCAGAAGCTTTAAAAAATGTCATGTTTTCATAATTATTTCCTTTTAATGTGTAGGTATCAGTTCCAAAAATAAATAGGAAAAATAAATTACCGCTTACAATTCCTTTAAATAAAAGCTCTGGTGTGGATTGAACTGATGATCTGCAATAAAGATCACATTTGCAGAAATAAAACTGAAAAAAAAGGAATTTGAAATACAAGTAGGTTTCCATTTTAGTGTTTGTACTCTGTTTTCTATATTGGTACGATATAAAAAAATAAATACATAGGAAAAATATTGTTTGTGTTTCGATTTCCATCCATGTAATTGTTGTGATGATTAATGCAGCTATTATCACTAAATTTGTGTAATTGTGTTTGTGGATGTTCATTGAGTGTGTGTGTGTGCGTGCTTGTATTAGAATATATATATATATATATATATATATATATATATATATATATATATATATATATATATATATATATATATATATATTATATATATATATATATATATACATATATATATATATATATATATATATATATATATATATATATATATATATATATATTATATGTATATATGTATGTAACATATATATATACAATATATATATATATATATATATATATATATATATATATATATATATATATATATATATATATATATATATATATATATATGATTATATATATATATATATATATATATATATATATATATATATATATATATATATATATATATATATAATATATATATATATGTGTGTGTGTGTGCTTGCGTGTTTGTAAATTCAATCAAATCTTCTATAGTAGATATACATAGTAACCCAAAGACACAAACAGATATGAACAAAAATTTATGAATTATTGACTTCAAATTAGTGAACTTTTTTCATACAGATCGTTCGAAATCACTCTACAAGATTTTGATACAATTTCACTTAAAGAAAAAAAATTCATTACACAACGAAAAGGAATGTAAAGAAAGATTTAGCATTCTATCAATAAAATTAGAAAAGAGACGTTTTAGAATCCGAATAAATGCATATTTCTTAATGAGTTTTACAAACCTGCAAGCGTCCGTTTACTATCCATCACGTGACTTTACAAACACAAACAAACAAACATACTCTAAGTGTGCTGAAGAAGAAATAGTGATAAAACTAATATTCGGTGAAATTAAGGACAAAAAAAGGAAAGAAAGAAAGGCAAAGAAATGAAATATATGTATGTATATGATGCACACGCACAAAACGCATACAACACACACACGCCCAAGCACCACACAAATACATACATACACACACACGTTACAAATACACCAACGCCCATAACATACACACACGCACACGCCCAACACACACAAACAAAAAACATACATACACACACACGCCCAAGCACACACAAACACATACATACACACACACAAGACATGGCACACACAAACACATACATCACACACCACAATATATTATACATACATACCACACAATATAACATACATACAACATACATAATATATATATATATAAAATATAAACATTTATACTTTTCACACCCATAATAGGTACACATGTCAGTCTACACACGCCCAAGCACACACAAACACATACAAACACACACAACACACATAATACCCACACACACACGCCCAAGCACACACAAACACACTACATACACACACAAACACATACACACAAGCCCAAGCACACACAAACACATACACACACACACACACTAAGCATACACAAACACATACATACATACACACGCGCCCAAGCACACACAAATACACACATACATACACATACCTGTGTGCATGTGTGTACAAATACATCTAAATAGCCTTTATACATACTTACATACAGAAGCAAAAAAACACAAACATGTACAATCAACAAAAAGCTTCCCTTTTATATAACAAAAACCCTTCCCTTTATTACAAAGAAATCTCACACGAAATTTGCTGCAGTTCGTACCACAAAGAACAAAAACCCACACAAGAAACCCATTTCCTCGGTTCGACGCGGGGCACAGCACGACGGGAAAGGCACCAGGCACTTGCAGGAATAGACGCCCTTGTGCATTCAGGTATTAAGAAGAATTTACTGGACTAAGAACCTCCCATTTAACGGTTATTGCCTGAAGATTCCCAGGAGGCCATTTTCCGAGACTTAAAAGTGTCTTCGGGGACGTGGCTACTCGGCGCCCGGCGGGAGGAGACCCGGTTATTCTCTCTGTCCTCTGTCTCTGTCTCTGTCTCTGTTCTCTCTGCTGTCTCTGTCTCTGTCTCTCTCTCTCTCCTGTCTTCTCTGTCTCTCTGTCCTCTGTCTGTCTGTCTCTGTCTCTATCTCTCTCTTCCTCTCCCTCTCTGCCTCTGTCTCTGTCTCTGTCCTCTGTCTGCTCTGTCTCTCTCTGTCTCTCTCTCTCAGTCATCTCTCCTCTCTCTCCTCCTCTCTCTCCTCTCTCACTCATCGCTCTCTCTCTCTCCTCTCGCTCCCTCTCTGTCTCGTGTCTCCTATACCCTCTCTACCTCTCTTCCCTCATTCCCTCGTCGTCCTTCTCTCATCTCTCTCTCGCTCTTCCCTGTCTCCTATACCTACCTCTCTCTCTACTGTCGCCTGTCTGTTTATGTAGCTCTATCCTAACTCACTATCTATTTAAGTTGCTATCTGTCTAACTGTCCTCTCTCTGTTTTCTCTCTATATCTGTTTATATATCTAATATCTGTCTCTTTAACGCCGTCCACACCAAACCCACACAAAATCATATATACATATACTATAAATACAGTAATATAATAATAATATATATATATATATATAATTATATATATATATACACCACCACAGACCATAACACAATTACACACACAACACCACACACATACACACACAACACACACAACATTGTTGTATATATATATATATAATAATATATATATATTTAATATAATACATATTATAGATTATATTAATATTATATAATATATAATCATCAACATATGTACTAATATTCGTGTTTGTATAATAAAATACATATATATATAAATAATATATAGTATATATATATAATATATATATACATATATACGATAATATATATATATATATGTATGTAATATAATAGATAGATATAGAATAGATAGATTTATTACATATATATATGTATATAATAGTATATGATATATATATATATATAAATAATAACATAAGTATATATATCATATATATACATTCATACTTTTCAACACACCCATAATAGGTACCACATGTCAGTCTACACATCAACCGTACATCAACAGATTAAACAAGGAAACAAAAATAATTTAGAATGTAATGTATTTCTTGTATATCTTAATAGTTTGGATAAGATATAAATTCTTGCTTGTAATGAAGAGTCTGCTGTCGTCTTCTCTACGCTCTAAGTTTACAGTATATCTTCATTAAATATACTGACAAATGCAGAATAAATAAAACGTTCATTACATAGTTACGACCTCAAACTTTGGTACACGTTTTCTTTGACGGTTTGTTTTCGTTTTCTATGACGAACCATATATCTATGGAGCCGTGAAGGCCGAACCATTTAGAAATTGCGTACTGACTTATCCAAAAAAGAAAAACACCATGTGCATATCGACCACGGATTTTATTTTTAACCACCTATCTATCACAAAAAGCGCTGAATATGTTGTTGATGTTAGAGATACGGGAAAGTTATCAGGAGCGGCAAATGAAGGGCGAGATGAAGACGATTTCCGAGGCGTTGGGCGCGGGCGACCATGTGACCGCCTCGCCTCCCGTGCCGTAACTCAGCCGGCGTTCACCAGATGGCATGAGCGTATAGGTGGCAGCAGGAAAGTCAGTGTTCGTAGTGTGATCAGTGGCATGGGTGCATCTCCTCGTTTCCCCTGTGTTTCCCTCTCGCGTACGGACAACATATGCTGGATTATTTGCGACTGGCGATGAATCCCGCTCCTGCATGGGAAAGGTGAGTGTAGCGGAGTGCTGGGCCTTTGTTTTCGGAGGAGGGGAATTAAACCGCCCAGGGTGGGTGGGTGTGCGTGCGTGCGTGTCACCCGGGACCAACCCTTCGAACAGCTGACTCCCCCTCCAGCTGAACGATAACTTGACCCGATGCCACACTGGGTCAGCTCCTGGGGCTCACCTACTGACCAGACGACCCTCGCTGCCCCCTCATGACCGCCCAGGAACGACGTAGGTCCCACCTCACGAACCTCATAACCGTGCCAACAGCGTGGTTTCCATAAGGCCGAGAGTCGCGTGTGCAACGACACCCCAGGCACGAGCAAGGGAGGCGCAGCTGGACAAGTTCATTAGGGTCGCGAATCGAAAACCATCGGCTGCTCTCGCTGATGGGCAATTCACCTGTTGAGCATTTACTAACGACCTCATTTGATAAGGTCGAGTCTCCTAACGGTCGTTAAATAGATAACGCTGTTGCTTGCCGATCAGCTAAACTGTTTTTTTTTTTTTTTTTTTTTTTTTTGAAAGGAAAAAGATGAATTGCGTGCTTTATGTGGAATTATAACCACTATCATCATCATCACCATCATTATCATCATCATCATAATCATCACCATCAGTATCATTATCACTACCACCACCAGCGTCATCAATATCATCACCATAATCGTCATCATCACATCATCAGTATCATCATTATCGCATCATCATTATCATTACCATCATTATCATCAGCATCGTCACCACCACCATCATCATCAGCACATCGTCACCATCACCACCATCATCAGCATCACCATCATCATCCATCATCATCACCATCACCACCAACGTCATCAATATCATCACCACACCACCACCCTTATCGTCATCATCATTATCACCACCACCACCACCAATATAATCGCCAACATCACTATCATCACCACAATCATCACCACCCGTATTCAATCATCCGCATCATCTATCACAAAATCAGTAGATAAAACGAAAAAAAAAAAAAAAAAAAACTTTACAGACTATATCTCTTAGCTTTGTAATATCTCAAAAGTATAAAGAAACCTTTGATACCATTATATAATACTAGGGATAATATCATCATTAAACGATCAGCTGTTTTTATTACAAGTTGATTATGGTTGTGACACATGCGATAATGCTATAATTTTGTGGATTAGGAAGAATGGATAATCCGTTGATGGGATCATGCTGTGCCATTGATATTTATTATGATAAATGATATGCTGACGATTTGAAACTGTTGTTTTATGATTATTATTATTATTGGTTGTTG